GAAGGGGCTGGCGGGAAGGCTGCGCTGGGAGGGGCCCGGCGGGGGCCGGGCAGAGATGGACCACGTGCCTCCCGAGCTGGGGCGGGGGAGCCCAGAGAATTAGACCGGAGGGGTGGGAAGGGAGGGGCTTGTTGGTCCCAGCTCTAGGGGCCGGCGCAAGCATCTGGGGTACAAGATAGAAGCCGAGTTAAAGTACGTTCTTCTGTGTTGCCCCCTCTCTTCCAGGGCATTACTTGCGCGCTCCGCTAGCTTTGCAGGAAGTGGAAGCTGCGCCTCGGCTTCTCGCCGGGTCGGAACACCCCCTTGGTCCTGGTCCTGGTCCTGGTGCTGGTCCTGGTCCCATTACTTAGCTCCGTTACCAGGCAAGGGGTGCCTGCCTTCCGAGGGCCGGGCCTGGGGCCTGGGGCCTGGGCTGGCCATGGTGACGCGTTCCGGAGGTGCTGCGGGAAGCGGAGGGACGGTGGGCGGAAAATGACGCGTTCGGCAGATCTGATTCATCCCCTCTGACCAAGTCCCCGCAACAGGTAGAAACTTGGGAAGCACTGATGATCACCCACTAGGCATTTCGTTCTGGAAAGTTAAAGTGGCCACTTGGCCGCCGAGCACTAAGTTCCGTAAGGCGGGGACCGTAGCACCTGACAGTAACGAAATATTTTTAACTGTTGAGAAGGGAAATACATTCCATGGATTTACGTCTTTATCAGGAATGTTATTGCCAGAGGTAGAAATAAAACAAACTACGAAAGAACGTACTCACATATCTCAGAAAATGGGAGAAATGGTTAAAAATATATTTAAGTACCAACTAATAACACTTAAAATGTGCAGGAAAGCGAGGTAGTCAGCAGCAGCTGAGGTCGGGAGGAAAGTGTGTGTGTGTGTGTGTGTGTGTGTGTGTGTGTGCCTGTGCGCGCGCGCGTGTGCTTGTGTATGTATGCACATGGTGCCTGTGTGTGCGCGTGCACGCATGTGTGTGTGCATGTGTGCGTGTGCGTGCACGTGTGTGCGCGCGCTCGGGGATGTGTTTAAATTTGGCGAGTTAGGGAGGGGAAGAAGACTCAAATTTAAACTCCTTTGTGAACTTTTACTCCTCGTCCCCTTCTCTCCCAGTTTAATGATATATATGACAACGTGCAGAGATAAAACGTTTAACATCAGAATAATACCTTTAAAGTCGATATTTTTAAATATATATATTTTATTGATTTTTTACAGAGAGGAAGGGAGAGGGAGAGAGAGTTAGAAACATCGATGAGAGAGAAACATTAATCAGCTGCCTCCTGCACACTCCCTACTGGGGATGTACCTGCAACCAAGATACATGCCTTTGACCGGAATCGAACCTGGGACCCTTAGAGTCCGAAGGACGACAACTCTATCCACTGAGCCAAACCAGTCAGGGCAAGTCCTGGATATTTTTTTATACTTTGAGCTACCTAGGCAAACAGAAGCTGTATCTGGAAGTAATTCACACTGAAGGTTAGCTTGAAAGTAAATTCAGTGCTGATTTTAAATTTAAATGATGTTTATTATAAATCTTTATAACCCAGAGTCATTTAATTGAAGTAATATTGCACACTGGAGCACTGATGTTTTCAAAATGTGTTAAGGATAAGAAAATTCAGTGGAAAAGCTGGAATATGTGTGTTCCACCAACATGGATTTTGTCATGTGCAGAATTCAAGAAAACAAATGACTAGTGAATTCCTACCCTATAATTAGAAGTTCTCTCGCTAACATGGGTGTATAGACAAATATTTTGTACTTTTTGGAATAAATTCCATGATAGCTCTCATGATAAATGCTATTAAATTGTCTACCATTATATGTCTTCAAGTCTCCCAGCTACAACTGATTGTCTCTGATGATTAAATGACAATGGAGCTTCGCTGCAGAATACTCTTAAAAGAAGGGTGTGACCACAGTGACCTACTGAGAAAGATGCAAAACAAACAGGAAATAACCACAACGTGTAATTTCAGGTTTTGTTTTTTTTAATTATTTGTTTAATGTCTAAGGCAGTGGTTCTCAACTTTTTTTGGCCATGCCCCACCTAAGCATCTCTAAAATCCTGAGGCCCCCCCACCCCCCCGTGACATATAATTCTTATTATTCAAAAAGTGATACTGTATATGAGGCCTCTAGAACCATAAGAAATGCAAAAAAATTCACTGTTAATAACTCATTCTCAAATTGCTCCCCTTAAAAATCAAATTGCTCTCCTGTGGGGCATGTGCCCCACGTTGAGAACCACTGGTCTAAGGCCTATCTTCCTCTCTAGGCAATAAGCTCTCTGAAATCAAAAACCATATTTGTTTTCTATGTGTACCCAGCACGTGGTAGTACATGGCACATTGTATGTCCTCTGTGACTATTTGTCAAATGCAAGACCTGACTCTAAGCTACTCTGAGTGTATGTTCCATAAGTTTAAAAACAGGCTAATACTTCTTGATTCAAAATGTGGATTGAGTTGTTACTGGTTCTAATTTACACTGGGTTCCTTCTAAGAATTCTTAATTTGGTATCATGCTCATTCCAGGGTTAAGGTTCAGGGAGTAGACCAAACATGGGTTTCAGTGCAAAACCCCCCATTCCCACTACATGTTTAAAAGTAGTGGTGACACACTTTGCTAAGATGAACAATTATCCTTAATTATAATGGTTAGGTAGTCTGTTTGCTGGCCTAAATTTTTCATTTGAAATTAGCATGTTTTTCCATCCAGTTTACCTGTTTGGTGGTTATACTTCCAGTTGTTCTAGATAGAAGATACATAATTTATCAGAGGAGTAAGGAAGTTCATCCAGGAGTTGGTTATAGCTCTAAATGCAGATTGGCAACCTAATTGGCATTATAAGGTAGCTCTAACTGTAGTTTGGAGATTTCAAAAATTCAATTTGCTGAATTAAGAAGGTAGTAGTAGTAGTATTCAGTCATAGATATCATATTTACATGGACTATTTAACAAATGCTCCTTGTATATATGAAACAATTATAAACAAACACTATAAAACCTATACAGGCATACCTCAGCAATATTGTGGACTTGGTTACAGACCACTGTAATAAAGCAATTATCACAATAAAGCAAGTAAATTTTTCTTTTTTGCTGGTGGAGGGTCTTGCCTTTAATTTGTAAAAAACGCAACACCTGTGAAGTGAAATAAAGTGAAAGACGGATAAAAGGAGGTTTGCCTGTATATGAGACCTGCTTTCAAATAGATGTTCATATCCTGAGTTGTTACTACTTTGGTATAAGAAAAGTCTAAAGTATTATGAAGATAACTAGAAGAAGCCTGATGCACGAAAAATTGTGCAAGAGTTGGCCTTCCCGCCAGTACCGGTTTGGCTCAGTGGATAGAGCGTTGGCCTGTGGACTGAAAGGTCCCAGGTTCGATTCTGGTCAGGGGCATGTACCTTGGTTGCGGGCACATCCCCAGTGGGGGGTGTGCAGGAGGCAGCTGAGCGATGTTTCTAGCTCTGTATCTCTCTCCTTTCCTCTCTGTAAAAAATCAATAAAATATATTTTTTTAAAAAAGAGTTGGCCTTCCTTCCCCCAGCTGCCAGCACCTGGGCTGGCTTCCCTGGGGGCCCAGCTTCGTCAGGAAGGACGTCTGGAATGACGTCTGGATGACATCCAGTTATTACCCTTTTATTATTATAGATTGCTTTCAATGTGTCACAAAATTCTCTTAGAGTCACTTTTCTGAATAAAGAAACTTTCTGTGTTCTGTAGGAGAGATTTGTGAGAGCAAGATTTGTGAAGTTTTACACTGGATTTTAGTTGAACAAATGTAACTTCAAAAAATTATAATTGATAATTATTTCACTTAAGCAGTTTGAAGCACTCTCATGATGTGTACATTAAATTGAAGATTATGAAATCCCTCTCTATCTGGACTATGAATCTTACAGTTTCTGTCACTGTTTGGGGGATTATATATGATTTCTTGAGCAAAACTCTAGAATTATTTGCTGAAACAAAAAGCAATTTTATATGTTGCTAACTCTTACTAAAATGTAATTGTGTTTTTTATAGTTGGACTGGTTCTTTTTTTAAGATAAAAACATTGGGCCTTTGGTAATATAGTATACCTTTATTTTCTTAGGAAAATATAGTCGATCAATTATTGGGGACTTCATTTCTTCTTCTTTTTTTTAAAAATATATTTTATTGAGTTTTTTTATAGAGAGGAAAGGAGAGAGAGAGAGAGTTAGAAACATCGATGAGAGAGAAACATCGACCAGCTGCCTCCTGCACACTCCCCACTGGGGATGTGCCTGCAACCAAGGTACATGCCCTTGACCGGAATCGAACCTGGGACCTCTCAGTCCGCAGGCCGACGCTCTATCCTCTGAGCCAAACCGGTTTCGGCATTTATTCTTCTTCATCGTTAAAAATTTTTGGCTTACAACTTGAGGGGCCTGGGAAAAATTACTTTATTTTGAGTGAAGTACCTGAATGGTAAGAGATGATGATTTAAAAGTCTAGCTGTTGATATTAATGTCATTGAAATAGATGAACCACTTAGTTTTTCTTTGACTTAGTTTTTTCAAGCTTAGTTTTGACTAATTAATTGGAGAAAAACATAATTTATGTGTACAAATTATTGGTTGATATCTGTTTTTATTGCTACTAGGCAAACAAGCATAGATTTTCAAAAGCTTTTTTTACTTGCTTTTTATTTGGGCCTAAAATATTGGAAAATGAGAGGATATACTATTCATTTTTAATTTTTAAAATATAAATACCATAGAAGGAGCAACTTAAGAAGCCAAATAGTCAAGGAGACTGATCACATGACCTAGAGCAGTGTTTCTCAAACAGAGAATCTCTTAGAACTAGATGTTTGTAAGTGTTCCTTAAAAAAATTTCCTTGGTCTAACAATTTGGGGCACTCTGAGACATTAGTGTTAAGTAGAACACAATTTGAAAACAAAATCAGTGAGCCTAGAAAGGTCACTACTGCTCCTCAATTAAAAAATGTTGTGTTACCTCAGAGAGAAGGTGGGGCGGGGGTAAGAGATCAACGAAAGGACTTGTATTAGTATACATGCATATTAGTATAACCAATAGACATGGACACTGGGGCAGTGGGGGCTTGTCCGGGGGGGCGGGGGGGGAGCGGCAGGGGGGGAAAAAGGAGACATATGTAATACTTTAAACAATAAAAAAAAAATCAAGTGCTGGACACAGAATTGGTCATGGTCCCTGCTCAGTAGGTTTTGAGATCTATGATGCGAACCTGATTTTCTTTCTGCTCAGACTCTATATCAGAGCACACACTTGACAGGAACTTGTTTGCTATTGCTAAGATCTGCTCTGTGCCCTGATATCTACTGAAAGAAAGTCCACAGTCTTTTGAAAAACCAGGGCCTTGGGCATGCTGGAAGGGTAGGCACAATAACATATACTTTTATCAAATAAAGGAGAGTTCAAGAATGGAATTCTAATAATGACTTATCTTTTTTGAGTTTACTACTTAATTAAGCTTGTCAGGAATATTTGGAGAGCCAACTTTACTTCTGAATGTGTGTATGTCTAGCACAGTGCCTGGAATATAAGTATTTTTTGGACGATAGAACAAATAAAAAATATATATTTGAAATAAAGCATTCTATGTCAACAATAAAAAAAATGTGTTAATAGCATCAACCAGGTATAGTGACTTACAGATGGGTGGTATTGCAAAAGTTTCCTTACAGATTAGTTCTTTGAAATATGTAAGAACATGGTCATGACCAAGGGTAGATATTCAGGTTAGCCCACAAAGGCTTATTTAATTGTAAGTACTTATATGAACATCCTAGAACCTAGTCACAAAAATATGGCAATATTCCCACGAGGAAAATATTTAGATTTACAACTTTTGTCAGCAGGAGTACACCCCATGTCTTTGTTATTTGTATTTCTGCTATTATATAACAGATAACCAGGAATTGTGTTGGTGATGAAGTTACCAAGATTACATTGTTCCTTACACCTAGAATTCCAGGGATCAAATATTTTACAAAGTCATACCTGACCTGATGTCATAGGAAGCTGGCCTAGCCCTCACCAGTCAGGCTCCCATGGTTTCCAGTAGCCACACTGGTAGAGGAACGTTAGAATTCTAGTGACTGGGAAATAAGGAACTGGGGAGTAGAAGGGTTATAAATCCCAAGTATTCTCTTGCCCCAATATTCTCACTTCAGGCAAACTCCTTACCCCTATCTTTAAAAACAAAAATACCCTCAGTCAGCCCCCAACCCCCCTGGTAGCATCTCGTATAACTATAGTACACTGTCACAACCAGGAAATTGATATTGATGCAATCCATAGAGCTTATTTAGAGGGGAGGGAGGACATTAGAATGTAAAGAAAGTATCAGGGGTTGCCTATATACTGGAACCTCTGATAACCCTATGCTTTATGAGAAAGAGTTTTATGACAGTAATAATAATTATTACCACATATTGAGTACCTACCATATTCTCAGTCTAAGTGTTTTATCTGTGTGAATTATTTTGTTATTGTTATTTGTATTTCTATTATTATAAACAGATAACAAGTATGGAGCAATTATGTGGTAGAAAACCTTCTAAGCAATGGATATACATTAACTCATTGAATCCTCACAAGTATATTATGACTCACTTTACAGATGAGAAATTCAAAACAGATTTGGTAATTTGCCCAAGATCACACAGTAAATACAAGAGCTGACATTTGAACTGGGTCTGACACCAGAGCCAGCACTCCTGATTACTATGTAGGTACATAAATTTCAGTGTTCATGGTAACCTTTCAAGATAGGTATGATCACGTCCATTTCCTAAATGAGGAACCTGAGCTGCAGAGAGGCTAAGCAACTTGCTCAAGACCCTACACAATGAACGAGTGCTAGAGCCCCAGTTTGATTCCAGGCCTGACTAACAGCAGAACCCTCACCATTTTTAGTTGACCATTGCTATGGACTGAATGTTTATGTACCCCCTCCCCTCAAAATCATATGTTGAAACATCATCCCCAATGTGAGGGTGTTTGGAGTAGGGCACCACATCAGCCATCGCCTTGAACTTGAACTTCTTAGCCTGAAGAATGTGAGAAAGAAATTTCTGTTTTTAAGCCACCCAGTCTATGGTATTTTGTTATAGCAGCCTGAACAGACAGAACAATTATACTGCCTGACTGGCCTGTAACAGATCTGTGCTGGACCTCTGTGATATTGTGATTTATATAAAGAAATGTATATTTGGTCTTCTTCCATGGTTTCTTGCACATAGCATCTA